TCCTTCTGTTCTGCTGTTTGTAGTGTTTGGTGGTTTCATATTCCACTTACTGTTCTATGAGGTGTATTTTTTCCTGAGGCTTCATGTATGTGTTTATCTTTACCATATGTAGGACTCATTTGAGGATTTTTGGTTGTTCTGATTTAGTGGTCAGAAATTCTGTTAGTTTGTGTTATAGTGAAACATTTTATTTCTCCTTCCATTATGAAGGACATCCTTGCTATATAGTATAATCTGAGAGTTATTTTTTCATTTCATGCCCTTGTAGCTTTCAGAGTTTCTGTTGAGAAACCTGCTTTTATCCTGAGAAGTTTGCTGATATGTAACTTGATGTTTTTCTTTAGCAGCTTTCAATATACTTTCTTGTTGTGTATATTTAGTGTTTTAACCGTAATATGGCATGGAATGTTCATGTCTGGTCTTGTCTGACAATCTAAATGTTTCCTGTAACTTGGTGCCCATCTCTTTTCCTATGTTTGGGAAATTTTCTGCTATAATGTTATCGAATATCTTAACTATTCCTTTAGCATAACGTTTGTTCTTTTAAGCTCATAACTCATAGGTTTGATTTTTTAAATAATGTCTCATATATCTTATATGTTCTGCTCATGTTTCTAAAAATTGTCAGAATATTCTAATTCATCTACTTGGTCATGATATTCTTTTTTTTCACTTGATTTATTCTATTGGTGAGGCTTTCCACTGAGATTATTTGACTTAATTGAACTTTCCGTTTCCAGTTTGATTTTTTTTTTCAGTATGTCTCTGTCTAATTGAATTCTATTTTCACATTCTAGATTGACTTTCTTTTTTTCATTAGGTTTTTGGCTTGAGTTCCCCTTTAATGCATTCAGGATTTTGTGATTTAACAGATCTCCTTCCCACCTCCCTTTTTTTGGTTGTTGTTGTTTGTTTTGTTTTGCTTGAGGACAGAATCTGTGTAGCTCTGGATGACCTGGAACTCATAATGTAGACCAGACTGGCTTAAACTCACAAAGATATGCCTGCCTCTACCGTCTAAGTGCTGGAATTAAAGGCAAAATTGACTAGACTATTTTTGTCCTCTGTTTTTCTTTTAAAGATTAAATATTATTCTTTTGAACTTTTTGTCTTTTGACTTTTAATTATTTTATTCATATTGAGTATTTTATGTGCATCACTGTTTTGCCCATGTGTATTTCTGTGTAACATGTGCATGCCTGGTGCACATGGAAGTCAGAAGAGGGCATAGGATACCCTATGGCTGGAGTTATAGATGGTTCTAAGCTACTTGCAGTTGCTGAAAATTGAACCCAGGTCCTCTGGAGAATAACCAGTGCTCTTAAACACTGAGCCATCTCTCTTAGTCTCGTTTTTTTGAATCTTCAAATTCACTCTCATTGGAGGACATCACTATGGAATTAGTAACTTTTTTTGAGGTGGCATGTTGCTTTGATGTTTCATGTTTCTGTTTTTGTGTTAGGACTTGTGTGTCTCTGATTAGACGGTCTGTTAGATTTGTTTAGTTTTATCGGTTACATTCTTACAAACAGTGGAACTGTTTGTAGTGTTTAAGTAGCAATAGGTTGTAATAGGGCTGAGGTGTCATTTCCCCTCATTGTACTAGTGCTGTATCTTTGAAGTCAGATCCTCAGTCCACGTTTTGAACATACACTCTAAACCCAGTACTATTCCAAGAATAGAATTTTGTCTGAATAAATAATAAAATCACAGGATAGGCCCATTGCAATAATATAGCAATAGCTAATTAAAACTCAACTGTATTTCCAGTTTTAAAGTTTTAATAATTTTAGTAAGTAAAAGAACACTGTCTTGTGTTCATGTAAATACTAGTTACTTAGAATGTGTGCAGGAAGAAACCAAGTAAGATTAGCAATTATTATTAATATGTGAAAGGGAAAAAATAGAGGTGGAAAAAGCAAATAGAAGTGGGGACGGTAGAGATGAAGGAAATACTAAAGGTAGAATGAAAAGAGAAAAGTAAACAAATGCAACCAGGTAATCTAAAGAAATCACAGGTTTGGGAAAGTGGATAAAGAGACACCCTCCACCCCAACCCTTGACTCTAGGGCAGCCTGTGTTGTTTGGGGAAACTCTATCAAAGGAAAAAAGAAAAGAGGACTAATGAGCGTCAATAAGAGAAGTGAAGCCAAGAGCTGCTGGGTTGGCGTCTAGAGTCTGAATGTAATTTCTCACTTGGCTGTAGTTCTCGTCTTGCCTGTAGACATTCCTATGAAGATTTGGAACACTTCGGGTGGTCTTAGTTTGATATAGATATTGGCCATGCCTGTGAGTGGTCTTTAGCTGGTCAGGTTGTGAATGCTGTTCATAGCTCAGGGCTGCTTTTAAATGGTCTGGTTGAGAATGCTGGTCATGCCTTTGCATGGTCCTTCTCAAGATTAAGGATATCTTCAGAACTGTAGACTGTGTTTCACTTCAGAGGTAAATTAGTAGCTGGATGAGGTAGCGCATACCTCTAATCTTGAATTTAGGAAGAGGCAGGCAGATCCCTGAGTTTAAAGTCAGCTTTGAATTACCTACGTAGTGAGACCCTGCCTCAAAAAACAAAAGCCCAAAGGATGACGTAGATCAAATTTCTGCTTCACTGAATGTGAATGTGGTGCATTCCTCACCCAGGGCGTCTTTCCTCTGCTGTGAAGAGCTGTTCTGCAGTCCAAGTTTTGGATTTTAATTTCATGATATTTGTTCTGCATTCTCAGAGTGGGGTTCAGGGAGGGGAGCCAAGCTAGTTACTAAACAGGAGTCTTTAAAAAGTGGGTTTTGTTACTGCCCCCATCCAGTACCAAGAGGCGAGGGTTTTCCTGGTATCTCCTCCTTCGGCTACTGCAGCTGTCATAGTCTGCTCTTGTCTCCTCTCTCTTTAAAATGTCTGTACTCACGCCACACTGCAGATATCCCGAGGCTCCCTGTCTTTTGCTGCCGTCTTCAGTTGCACTTGCTCTGGCTGAGCAGGCTTATCTCTCTCTCTAGGACAAGCTCCTGACTTTCTCCTTCTGTACTACTCTGCAAGTTTCCAACTTCACTTTGTTTCTGAAACTAGAGATGTTCTGCCATTTCTTACCTCCTATAATACCTGTTCTCCAACTATTCCCAGTTTGTCCTCCACAGATTTTAGCCGAATATGGCTGGGTGATATCTACCATCTTCTACTCAAGTTTTTATTATAACTCAACAAAAACACACTTTAAATTTTCCTTTTTTTTCATACAGGAGAAATAGTACCAATGATCTTTTGGCTTATAAAGAAAATTCTTTGTGTTTTTACTTTTTCTGATAATACTGTATAAATTAAAATATTATCAGAAGATCATATTATTAATCAAAGGACCAGTCAGCATCACAAACTCAAAGGATAAATTCACAGAAGTAGTAGTGACATAAAAGTATAGAGTGCTCATAAGATACCCTTTTAGAAACAACATTCTAAAGAGACTTATAGGATAAAAATTATGTTTATTTCTATGTATCATACCCAAAATTATTTTGTGAGTAGATAGAAGTTCTTACAATTTGAAGCTGGGGCTTTCAGGGATCAAAATTTAAGGAAGAAAAAGGGTAAAAATAAGTTAATATTAATTCTAAATATGTTTGAAGAAATGAATATGAATTTAGTCTACATACTCCTTCATATATATTTAAAATGATGTAATGCTATTTGACATCATACTTCTATTTTGGGAATAAAATATTTAAAATAGTCACATTTCTTTATTGACTTTATTAATGGGTTGTATTACTAATATGTTATTTAGCATTTATGTGCTTATACTCGTAAATACTTTCCTTTACAATGCTTAAAATTACACAAAATTATACAAGTTGTACAGTATAATAAGTTTTCTCTGATATTAACACATTAAAAGTATTTTGTCTCTCATGCCTTTTGCTTGCAGCTTTCTTTCTTCTTCTAGTACAGCCAGTTTATTTGTTTCTTGACACTATAGGCTGTTTACAGGCTTTTTGATTGTCTGACTCTACCCTACTGAAAATATGTGCCTTATGTTTTTCATTAAAATGAAATTTGGGCATTTAAGGGAAGAATTTGAGGCTGAATTAATAACAAAGCACATAAAAACTGAGCAAGTTAAGAAAATAAGAATACTTCAGGGACTAAACAATTTGCATGGCAGAAAAGTAGCAATAATACAGGGCAAATAGTTTTATTGGGAGATAGGCATAGAGTAAGTACTCCTGTATCACACACACATGTGTAATGGAGGGAGATAAAGAACAGAAAATGCTTTTTCTAAACGTTAGTAAGTAGCAGTATATATTTAAAAAGTTAAGAGAAATAAGGTAAAACTACCAAAACAAATTTCAGAAGAGATTAAAAATAATGGAATCTGGAAAGAAAGATATTAAAAGAGAGACAGAACAGATGAACTTTAATCATTACATTGTTTTCTATGGAATTATTTGACTTGTTACAATATATGCATGTCAATGATAAAAATAAAACAAAATGAGAGAGAAACAAGTAGGACATAAAACTGCAATGGATTAGTCACAATGCTTTTGATAATTATTCATGTTTCTGCATTTATTAGTAATTTCTTTTAATTGTTACATGGTATTTCATTTCATAATTGTGCCACAGTTTTTATTTTAATTCCTTTATTGATCGGTACATAGGCTATTTCTTATTTTCTCCTATTATGATTGAAGTCACTAGTGTCATAATTAAGAAAATAATTTTGTGGAAATATGCCTTAAATTTTCTTTGTTGCACATGCAGTGGAATTGCTAGAGCCTGTTGGAGGTGTATAGTTGGTTTATAAATTGTAAGATAGTTTTCTATAGTGGATATAAAATAAGATACTTTGTGTCCTCACCTGCAGTGTATGAGTTCTGTTATTCCATATCCTTTATTTTCCATTTAGAAGCTAATTATAGCCATTCTGGTAGCCATGTAATAGCTTCTGGTCATTATTCTAATTTTTGCTTCTCTGATGACTACTTCTACTGTTATTCTCTTTCAGACAGTTCGGCATGGTTTTCCTTATCAGCCCACAGCACTGGCCTTTGATCCAGTCCAGAAAATCTTGGCTATTGGAACAAGAACAGGTGCTATACGAATGTATCCTTCATTATTGTTAATTATTCTTTACAAAAATGCCAATTGCATTTGCTTAAACATTCAAATAAGTAAAGCATTTATAACCAATAAAGTGTCTCGCTTCCTTAAAATTTAGAAATGATTAACATTAGTAACTATTGTGAAAAATACTACTGTCAAATTTCTTAATTTTTTTTTTTTTTGGTCTAAGAGATAACTGTTTGATGTCCCTTCTTTAACTTGTTATTGCTTGTTTGTGTCATTTTTTTTCTGATCAGTTTAGTCAGAAGCTTATCAATTATAAACAAAGACTGAACTTTTAGACTCATTTTTTATTATTTTCCTCAATTATACCACCTTAACTTTAGGTTGATTTTTTTTTTTAATTACGTTGGATTTAGTTTTTCCCTTTTTAGTTTCTTATGGTAGAAACAGCCACTGATTTGATAACTTCTAATATATGCATATAGTGCTATAGGTTTATTCCCAAATAAAGTTTAGTGTGTTATCCATTTTTTTTCAAATTAAAAGTTTTATTTTTGAGATTTACATTTAGGTGTAAGAAATGTTTCTGAGAAATCTCATGTACTCTTTGACCTAGTTTCTTTTACCTGTAACATTTTATAAAACCATTGTGTGATACCATGACTAAGGAGCTGGAGATATGGTCAGCATGCTCTTGCAGAGGACCTGAGTTTGGATCCTAGTACCAGCATGGTGGGTCCTAACTGTCCATGACTCCATGCCAGAAGGCTTAGTGCCCCTCTTCTTCTGAGGGCATCAGATACACACATGTGGTTTATACATTCATGCAGGTATATATATATATATATATATATATATATATATATATATGCAAAAATAATCTTAAAAATAATACTCTACACTCCTGCAGTCACCTTATTCTGAAAAAGAGGCTAATATCTGTAACGAACGGTGCTGGTAAAACTGGATAACTATATATGTGAGAATGAAACTAGATCTTTCTCTTTCATTCTGCATAAAACTCAGCTCCAGGATATCAAAGATTTCAATGTAAGATTTGATACCCTGATTCTGATGGAGGAGGAGGTAGGGAATATACTTGAATGTACTGGCACAGAAAAGGAATGTTTATCCACTTCTGGTGGGGATGAAAACACGTGCAGCCACTATAGAACTCAGTGTGGAGATTCTTTAAAACCCTAGAAATAGACCTATTATGGGATCATCTGTACCATTCCTGGAGATGAACCCAAAGAACTTTGTGATGGTGGTTTGAGTAGGAATGGTACCAATCCCTAGTTGGTAGAACTGTCTTAGGAAGGATTAGGAGGTGTGGCCTTGTTGGAGGAGATGTATCATGTGAGGTTTCAAAAGCCCACGCCAGGCCCAGTCTTTCTGCTGCAAATTTGCGGATCAGAAGTCCTCTCTCAGTTACTGTTCCAGCAAGCCTGCCTGCCTGCTGCCATGCTTCCTGCTATGATGGTCCTGAGTTCACCCTCTGAACTGTAAGCAAGCCCCCAATTAAATGCTTTCTTTTATAAGTTGCCTTGGTCCTGGTGTCTCTTCACAGCAAATAGGAGTTTGTTTACTTTAAATTCTGTTATTGCTTGCTTGTATCATTTTTTTCTGATCAGTCTAGCTAGAAGCTTATCAATTATAAACAAAGATTGAACTTTTGGATTCATGTTTGGAGAATATACTTTCTGTATTCTATGAGACAAACTCTATAACCTATTGTAGGAAAACTTGCTAATCTGTGTTCGCTTCTCTAATCACAATAGCCAGAAAACAACCTAGATGTCCATGACTAGATAATGAGTATATGGTATGTTTTAACAGATGGAATACTGTTTATCTGGTAAGAAAAATGAAATTGCATCATGCGTTGTAGAGCACATCTTTAATCCCAGCACTTGGGAGGCAGAGGCAGGCAAATATGAGTTCAAGGCCAGCCTAGTTATAAAGCGAGTTTAGAGCAGCCAGGACTACATAAAGAAACACTGTCTAGAAAAACCGAGGGGGGGAGGGAGGATATTGTGAAATTCATAGGTAGATGGATGGACACAATCATTTGAATGAGGCAACCCAGAACCAGAGTTACAAATGTTCTGTTTTCTCATGTGTAAATGTTAGCTTTATATTGTCAGACATGTGTGTTTCGTTCATGATGCTGATAGAGATTAGGAAATTAGTAAGGTGCTATGTGGAAGGGAGGACTTCAAAGAAGGGGAGATTAGATACTAATTAGATTAATATAAAGGGTTAAAGGAGAATAACAACAGGAAGGGTTTAATGGGATGGGCAATGAGAGGATAGGGTAGAGAAGAGAACACAGGGAAGGGATGAATAACTCTAAACACTTTGAACAAGTCATATGGAAATATACTACTATAGAATATCCTAAAATATATGCATTTGAGTTTAAATGGAGTCACCCTATAAGGGAATAATAATTCCCCTACTACACCCCACAGGCTAACAAGTAAAAAGTACAGTGCCACAAATGGGTTACTTCTTTTGAAGTTGTTGGCCAGTGAGGTTCCATTGACCTCCTCCAAACCTTATGTTACCAAAGCTTTTACCCTCCATAATCTTATAATAAAACTGTATTGCTGAAGACACCACATAGTTGAGTCACAAGAGTACAGAGAAATTAAGCTGGCACCTGCCTGAAAATTTCATGCCCATTAGCTAGTTTGTTTTTGTTTGTTTGTTTGTTTGTTGTTGTTGTTGTTGTTTTACCATGCTGGAAGATGCTATGCATGCTATTGGAGGAGAAATGGAATCACTAATATTATCCAGCTACAGTAATGATTGTCCTGGAAAGACAAGCCCACTTGTGCAATAGTGGCACGAATATTATGCAAGTAACCAACCACTTTATGGTTGGATTTAAGGCCTGCTTTACAAATTGAAACCCATATCTGGTACTAATATTGGATCCAAGAACCTGTTGCTAGATGGGTCACAGGCCCTAGGGAAGAACCCCCTACTATCCCTCTGTTAAGTGGACACATTATTAAAGCAACTCCTAATGGATTGTTATTATTATACACATAGATCAGTGTATCTCTTAACCCTCATCAGAACACCTTCTTTTGCAGTAGATGCCAACAAATACAGAGACCTACAACTTGTCAAGGTGCAGAGAGTAAGAAACTACAAAATCCCTAGCTTTCCCATCTTCCTCTTACATTCTTTCTGTTTCTTCTTTTACAGCATTCCCTAGGCCTTAGAAGGGGTGAAATAGATGTCTCATTTGGGAATGATCATTTAACAGTCACTTATTTTCAGTACTTTGAACAATTATTTCTTCATTTAATTCCATTTTTATATCTTGCATTGATCTTTTTTATTCCATTTAGCTCTATGCACCATCTTGAAATTCATTTAGGAATGTGTCTGTTTCCTCTTCATTTCTTTGAGCATATTTATAATAATTTTGAGTTCATTATCTAGAATTTAGTCTAATTAATTCTCAAGAGGGTCCATTGTTCTGGGATAGGTTTTTTGGAGGATACATGTTGCCTTAGTTTTTTATGTTACTTTTTTTTTAAACATTTGGACTTGCACATCCAGAGTTAGATTGTTGATTGAGTTTGTTTTGATCTAAGTCACCTTTTTTCTTTTAGTGGAAGTGTTTGAAATGTTTCAAGAGGTACCACATCATAGCAGGCCTGAAGAATAATTTTTTTTCCCCTGTTAGACTGGGTTCAGTGTACCAAGCTCCACTCCCAGTGTTCTACTAGGAGAATAACTCTATTTGCAGTAACAGTTCTTATCTAGGGATAGAGCCACTGTGAGGACAGATCCAAGCACAAAACATTCACCCCACAAACGCCATCCATTTCTAGGAGTAAAGGACACTGAAAGTACTGTCTGAATGGTCTTGTATATTAATTATTGTGGATATGAAGTGGTGGAAAACACAGCAAGTCATGGTGGTTAGTGCTTGGATGATAGGAAGTCAAGGGGTTGTCTTAGTTAGGGTTGCTATTGCTTCGATGAAACACCATGACCAAAAGAAAGTTGGGGAGGAAAGGGTTTATTTGGCTTATGCGTCCATATACTTCCATATGTTCATCATTGAAGGAAGTCAGGACAGAAATTCAGCAGGACAGAAACCTGGAGGCAAGAGCTGCTACAAAGGCCATGGAAGAGTGCTGCTTATTGACTTGCTCATCAGGGCTTTCTCAGCCTGCTTTCTTGTGTATGTGTGTGGTGGATGGCACCTCCCACACTGAGGTTTCCTCCTCTCAATGACTCTGGATTGCGTCAACTTGACATAAAGCTATCCAGGACAGGGTGTGGAATATCATTGGAAAGGGAAATATCTGGGGCAATGGATAGTTCAATATTCATAACAATGCCCATTGCAGGGTGGTAACCAGATCTTGAGGAACTGAAATCATTTAAAAACTCAGTTGAAACTTCCTCCAACAGTTCTGTAAGTCAGTGTGTTTGAGGAAAATCACTGCCCAGCAGGTTTTCTTGTGCAGGCTGGCAGAGCCTCTGTGTGAGAAGCCCTTCCTGCAGATTTCCATTGTGCATGCTGGAGAGGCTTGGTTTAGTCAGCCACACTGTCTGGAGCCTCTCTCTCACCAGCACACATCCTACTTGACCTTGTTAGTTCATTTGCCAGCCGTTTCTTTGCAAGAAACAGTGCTGTTTTCTGTTATGTTACCTGTTTTCTTCACTTCATAAAGTTTCTTTGGTGACGCTTCTAATGAACCAACCATTGTAACCGGAAGTATATTTTATTTTCTTACATGATAGTTCCAGCTAGGATGTCTTGCAGAACAGATATGGTAAGGATTGGCAGCTCTTTTTCTTACTCCTGACTTTGAAGGAAAAGCTGTTGTTAGAATGGAAAAAATGTTGTTGGCCCGAGTGGAGACCCAATTAGGCTGCTTCAGTCATTTTGGCTAAGGGACCTCCCCAGAAAAGTGGGTTTACCTTAGGTCATACTAAAGAGATATAGATGGGATAATTCATTCTTTAATGAGGTACTGTATTTTTCATTCCCAGAATCCCTA